TGTCTTTATATATTACCTTTCACATTTAGTTTAAATGTAATACTACGGTCGCTGATTTTTCAAAGTCACTCACTTGCTTGTTTGCATTACTTTTAGTTTTTTAACATGTATTTTTCTACACCACATTGATCAGCAGTGCATGTTGAACCTTTAGCATGCAGAATCTTCCAAAGCATTGTGAGATTTTACATTCTATAATTACTAGATTTTGCTGCAGGGAAGATATTTTTTTCATAAAAGCATCTTTGCTGTGTGTGCGCGTGTGCGTGTGCGTGTGTGTGTGTGTGTGTGTGTTTGTGTGTGTTTGTGTGTGTGTGTTTGTGTGTGTGTGTGTGTGTGTGTGTGTGTGTGTGTGTGTGTGTGTGTGTGTGTGTGTGTGTGTGTGTGTGTGTGTGTGTGTGTGTGTGTGTGTGTGTGTGTGTGTGTGTGTGTGTGTGTGTGTGTGTGTGTGTGTGTGTGCAGGTTCATCTGGCAGAGATAAAGTGCACCTTTTTCTGGATTCCAGGTGTCTACAGGCCTGCAGTATATGTGTGCTGGAATGTGTGTGTGTGTGTGTGTGTGTGTGTGTGTGTGTGTGTGTGTGTGTGTGTGTGTGTGTGTGTGTGTGTGTGTGTGTGTGTGTGTGTGCGTGTGTGTGTGTGTGTGTGTGTGTGCGCGCATCACATGACTGCTTGTGAAGTTATACAGCGCACACAAACACACACTGCTCTCCTCCTCCTCTTTCTCTCTCCACCACCTCTTCATCCCCAACGCTTAAATCAAGAAAATGGCCAAGCATCAAGAGGATCATTTGAGCCCGAGAACAACCCACAAAACAGTCCATCATCTTAAAGACACACACACACACACACACACACACACACACACACACACAGCATCAGTTCTGTCACCCCGGCGCCCTTGCAGCGTCTGACAGCAGAAACACACATGGAGCTCAATGCAACACACATTAATGTCAGCGAAACACACTTTAATCACGCACACACACACACACACACACACACATACACTTATTTAGAAATTTGCAATGCACGGCTGTCCAGTGAACATGCTGTTTTTGCTTTGTTTTGTGGTTAATCACTAATTATCCCGAGTCATTAATTCTACAAATGATCTCTCTATAGAGCCACCGGAAAAAAAGACTGTCATGATTGGACAACAGAAAAACCCTTTATATGATGTCAAAGTCAGCAGATATGAAAGACGTAAGTGGATTTTCATTGTGATCACATTGCTCAAGCATGTTGTTTGGTATAATGCACACAGAAGTAGCATGTTACAGCCAAAATGTAAAATTCTATCATTTAGTCAGTCACTTGCTTCAGTCCTGATTGAGATTCTTTCTGCTGTTGAACACAATTGAAGATACTTTAAAAAATGTTTGGGGATGGGGTTCCTCCGGGTGCTCTGGTTATATATAGTTGAGGTCAGAATTATTAGCCCCCCCTGTTTATTTTAAATTTCTGTTAAACGGAGAGAAGATTTCTTCAACACATTTCTAATCATAATAGTTTTATTAACTCATCTCTTATAACTGGTTTATTTATTCTTTGCCATGATGACAGTAAATAATATTTGACTAGATATTTTTCAAGACACTTCTATACAGCTTAAAGTGCCATTTAAAGGCTTAACTAGGTTAATTAGCTTAACTAGGCAGGTTAGAGTAATTATGCAAGTTATTGTATAACGATGGTTTGTTCTGTAGATTATTGAAAAAAATTATAGCATAAAGTGGTTAATAATATTGACCTTCAAATGGCTTTAATAAAAATTAAAAACTGCTTTTCCTCAAGCCTAAATAAAAAAACAAGAATTTCCCCAGAAGAGAAAATATTATCAGACATACTGTAAAATGTCTTTGCTCTGTTAAACATAATTTGGGAAATATTTAAAAAAGAAAAAAAAAATTCAAAGGGGGGTTAATAATTCTGACTTTAACTATTTATATATATATATATATATATATATATATATTGCAAATAGTACTTGTAATTAAATATATTTCATACAGAAATTTTCTTCAATGTTTTGACAAAAGTATTGAAGGCCTTTCTTACTCTTGTGTTCTTATTGTTAGCATTGCAATACACAGTATTCCCATTCAAATGCAAATGCAAAAAACAAGTTTTTAAGGTGGTCCATAAGAAAATGTATTTTATATAAATTATATACACAGTCAAAGTTAAAATGATTAGCCCCCAAATTATGTTTAGCAGAGCAAAAAAATTTTCACGGTATTACCTATAATATTTGTTCTTCTGGAGAAAGTCTTATTTGTTTGTGTTTTGGCTGGAATAAAAGCAGTTTTAATTTTTTAAAAGCCATTTAAAAAGTCAAAATTATTAGCCCCTTTAAGCTATTTTTGTTTTTGATAGTCGACAGAACAAACCATTGTTATACAATAACTTGCCTAATCACCCTAACCTGCCTAGTTAACCTAATTAACCTAGTTAAGCCTTTAAATGTCACTTTAAGCTGTGTGTATTTATATATACAGCAAACAGAAAATATTCAGAATTTTTCTGGTAATTTTTGCAATTCAATATATTTGTTTGATTTTTACATTTTAGGTTAATTTAATTTATTGCAGTGATGTAAAGCTGCATTTTCATCATCATTACTTCAGTCTTAAGTGCCACCTGATCCGTCGAAAATGCATATGCATATTTTTTACATTTAACCATTTGATTAATGTTAATATTAAAGCAGCTGTATCACATTTTTGTGGGAACAATGACAGATTTTTCCCCAGGGATTTTTTATTGAATAGAAAGGTTTTTATTATATTATTATTATTTATTTATTTTTATTAGTCAGTTTATTTTATTTAATTAATTATGATGCATACTTCCTCAATAAAATCATTACTTCATTTTAGAAAATATAATAAATTAAAAAACTTATAAATAATAATAAATTCTCTTTGGCTATTAAAAATACTTTTCCAAAAAACAGTTTGCATTATTTATTTAGTTGGTTTATTTGACCTTTTTTATTTGTTATTAACGATGCATACTCAATAAAACAACTTCCTTTTAGAAAGAAATTGACATTTCTGTCTATATTGAAAATACTCCTTGTGTAAGTGGGGGTGTCACGGTGACAAAATGGGTAGCATGATCACCTCACAGCAAGAAGGTTGCTGGTTCGAGCCTCGGCTGAGTCAATTAGCATTTCTGTGTGGAGTTTGCATGTTCTTGGTTTCCTCCGCGTGCTCCGGATTCCCCCACAAGTCCAAACACATGTGCTACAGGGGTATTCCATAAACTAAATTGACTGTAGTGTATGAGTGTGAATAAGAGTTTATGGGTGTTTCCCAGTGATGGGTTGCAGCTGGAAAGGCATCTGCTGTGTAAAACATATGCTTGATAAGTTGGCAGTTCATTCCACTGTGGCGACCCCTGATTATTAAACGGACTAAGCCAGAAAGAAAATGAATGAATGAATGAGTTTAAAGTGGACCAGACGAGTGTATAGTGAGTGTAATCCGCGTGCTAAAAGAGAGCGAGGTCCTTGAGCTAAATGTCCTCTTAAGACTGTCGCTCTTGTTTGACTGAGTTTGTTAGTTGGCTACATCATCTTGACATGTAATTACTGAAGCTCTCTTAATCACTGCAGTGCAGATTAATAACAGAGGCTCCTGTGGGGTCACATCACCGCATCAAAAAGCTCTCGCAGTCACACACACGCGTGATAAATACTGCACACAATCACTGCACATTCAAGGGCAATCTGCTCCCAATATCATAGGATAAAAATAAACCAAGTAAATCTGAACTTCAAAAATGACACTGAATGCATAATTCAGAAGAGCATTTGTCTCTATGCATCCAAATAAACCTCATTTATATATGAATTAATAAAAGACTGAATATGTAATAAAGACTGAAAGTTATTAGATGAAATAAGAAAATATTATTTAATTGTAATTCAGTATTCTGTATTCAGAAAATGTGTTAATATAAGAGGATTAGCCCCTTAAGATGAATCATCTCATTTTCATTGGCATCCTCAAAATACGCAAATATAGCAAAGCATCAATACAATAAAGTAAATACAAGAACAATAATTCAGTAATATATTGAGTAATATATTGAGTAATACATCGCAGATTAATTAATTAGCCCTATTGTGACCCTGAATAAGTCAAGTGTTTTTTTTAATTAAAATTATTTTTTAAATTATTTTATGAATTATTAATTTGATTATTTATTAAATTATTATTTTCATTCATCCATTCATTCATTTTTGACTATATATATATATATATATATATATATATATATATATATATATATATATTACATTTACTTATATATGTTTTTGTTTTTGTTATTTTATATATTTAAACATGGAATTTTATATATTTAAACATTTTGTTCGATTAATTATTTGTTTTAAATCATTTTGATGTATACAATGTATTTTTATCTATATTTTTTGTCTATATATGTTTTTGTTGTTTTATTTTACATATTTGAATTATATTTAAGTCATAATAATAATAATTATTATTATAGTTATTATTATTGTTGTTGTTGTTGTTGTTATTATTATTATTGTTTATTTAATGTATTTATTTATTATTTTTTTTACATATTTAACATGTAATAATTATCCAAATTTTTATTACTTATTAATTATTATTATTTATTTATTACAAATAATAATAATTATTATTACTTTTATTCATTTATTTATTTATTTGTATACCTTTGCCTATATATGTTTTGTTGTAGTTATTTTCCATGTTTAAACATGGAATTATTACCCAAATTATTATTAATATTTACTTATTTTATTTATTTATTTAAAAGAAAAATCTATCATTTTGACCAATACAGTGTATTTTTGGCTATATTATCAGCCTTATAAATGATTTTGTTGTTGCTATTTTACATATTTAACTGTGCAGTTCTATGTTTGCATCTTTGCTTGGCTCCATATATATTTAGCATCTTCTCCCAGAGGATGTGAAGGAGAAACTGCAGACCTACCGGCATCTCGTTTCCTCTTTTCTCCGTTAGACCGAGGGATTCCCAGAATGCCGTTGATTGAATAGGAGCCCACGGGGTCATTGGAGGAGCTGGAGACTGGAGGAGACGCTGTACTGGGAACTGAAGAGAGAAGGAGAGAGAAAACAGACCATTACTACTCTTCTCATCTACAACAACACATCATACAGGTTTACAGCAGCTGCTTTTCAACATAAATGCCCTTCACTATTGACCTTATTCTGCAATGCGGAAGTGCGCTCGCATTTATTCATTTACTTATTTAACCAGGAAAGTCCCATTGAGATACAATATCTCTTCTACCAGGGTGTCCAGGTCAAGACAGGCAGCATAGGACAGAATTACGGAGAAGTACATACCCCAACACATAAACACACATGGAAATAATATCATAATTCAGTGGTTCTCAAACTTTTTTCACCAAGTAACACCTCAGGAAAAAATAGTCTCTCCAAGTACCACCATAATGAGCAGTACTGAAATACAGTAGCGCAGTAGGCCTAATTAAGCAGCTAAAGCTCTGTATAGTTCAAAAGTGAGGCAGATGAATTTCTAATATTATGAATATTTATTATTGTCAGCCACTTTTAGCATAATAAATAGCTTGAACATTAGCACTGCCCTGTCCTTAAAGTTAAAAAATAAATCAATTTTAAATTAAAATGTGCTTCTAAAAGTTAATTAGAAATGTTTGTCACGGTCAGGGTTGGGGAAAAAGAAGCGAGGACCCAATTGCAGAGTGAATGAATATTTATTCTTAATAAATTAAACAAAAGACAAAATAAACAACCTCGAGGGGGAAAACACTAATAAAACAAATAAACAATCAAAACAAACTAGGATGGAAGGCTTGGGGGGATCAGGGCTGCAACAAGGCAACATCAAGACAAGGCTACATACGTTGACGAACGATGACGAACTGGCACAGGACAGCAGACATGAGGGGATTATAAAATGTAGTAAATTAACACACAAACAACTGAACATAATTAACTAATAATGGGTTAACAAGGAGGGTGGGACTAGACAATAGACGGGAGAGCACATGACACAGAGAGACAACACAAGCCATGCGCTCACATTAGACAAGCCTAGAACACGCAGCCAATGAGAGAACTCAATAACTAAGCGTTCACAATAACAGGACAAGACTGAAGCAAGAGGCCACAGTGTAAACACAGAGCTTGGAAAACACAAATAGACGCAAGACACAAGCACACGATAGATGAACACCTTTCTGTGCGCTCACACATATGCAACGCGCATGTTTTATCTCAGTGTCAACCAAAACCGAAACCAACTAGACGAAGACGCTGAGAATGAAACAGCGCGATGCCGACAGAACAAAACACAAACACGACTACGAGAGCACACGCATCCGAGGCTCGCACACTCTGCGCACACCCACGACGGGGCGCGCGCACACAGACACACACACAATGACAGAGACAGGACTAGTGTCCGGACTCTGCCACTAAAACAAAAAATCACAAGACCAGAGTGGCAGAACCCTGACAATGTTCCTAAAAAGTAAAAAGAAAACTTCTGTACTTAAATGTAAAGTATTAACATATAGTAGCCTATTCATAAAAACCTGAAATGTTCCTTGGACCTCATAAATAAAGGCTATTTGTGATCACATTCATATAAAATGTTTTGAAAAAAATTGAAATAGATGTTGCATGTGACTTGTTTGTATATCTTTGAAATCTAAACATTAGCTTTAAATTTATGATTTGGATATACATATTTTATTTAGAAATTACATCTGCTTACTGCACGATATAGGCATTGTGTGTCACAAAAGCAAGTCATTAAACCATACCTGTCGACATTGGGATATAAAAACACAAGATACGCCCCCAACAACCTTTACAAATATGGAGAGGAGATTAGCTTCAAATGATGGAAAACATAACAAACATTAGAAAATTGAAAATAAAATCAAAGGTTTAGCCTATTAGAATCAATTTACTGAAAGGGTTAAAAGTCAAAGGGTTAAAAGTGCGTCCATTTTTTTTACTTAAATTATTCAGCGATACCTCCGTGTACCACGAGAAGGAAGCCTGTGTACCACTAGTAGTTTACGTACCACAGTTTGAGAACCACTGTCATAATCAATTAATAAAACACGTGCACTGTTCTGAATAGACAGACTTTAAACTGTTTAAATATAGCAATAGATGCTACAGATTCCATACACTCCAAAAAAAAAATTTAATTACTTATTTAACCCAATGGTTGAGTTAAACATAATTGGTGCTCTGTCGGGTTATTTTTAACCTTTATTAGGTTATTTATTAAAAACTTAATGAGTTGGGTTAAGTATTTGATGCTTTGTTGGGTTATTTATAACCTTTATTTGGTTATTTATTTAATAACCCTACTAAAAAAACAGCTTAAACCAGCCTAGGCAGGTTGGCTGGTTTTAGCTGGTCGACCAGGCTGGTTTTAGAGGGGGTTTGGCCATTTCCAAGCTGGTTTCCAGTCATTTCCAGCCTAGCCAGGCTGGGAGCCCAGCCAAAACCTTCTGTCCAGCTTAAACCAGGCAGGTTTTAGTTGAGTTTAGCTGGTCATTTTCAGCCTGACCAGCTAAACCAGGCTGGAAATGGCTAGAAACCAGTCTGGAAATGGCCAAAACCCCTCTAAAACCCGCCTGGTCAACCAGCTAAAACCAGTCAACCATCAGGCTGGTTTAAGCTGGATTTTTTCAGCAGGGAACTCAACCAGTTGGGTTAAAAAATTTTATTTCAGTCAACTGATTTAACTGACACAGAACAGCTGTATTAATATGCGTGCGTAATGTTGTTTTTGCATTATAAAGTTGATTTAAGCTCTAACGAAGTAATATTGTTTTCTTTTTTATCAAATTACCTGTCGTGTCGTGTTTTTTCTATTCGTTTCACCAGCATTCTTAATTATTTATAATACAAACGCCTGCTTCATAGACGATCTATATTAATGGGTAAAACGCTTTCCCTACCTCCCGTGTTGATCTCTACAGAAAATGATACACATATTTGGAATTTTCCACCATCATTCTTGCCTTTAGGACCCAGCGGAGACATTTATTTATTTACACAGCCAGAATTTTAAAATTAATAGCAGTGCTTCAATAGTATCACCAGAATGAAAAAAATAACATTTAATTAAAATAACCCAATTCATTGGTTTAAAATAACCCATAGTTGAGGAGGTGCTGTAATAACCTATAGTTGGGTTATATGTTGGGGTATTTTTAACCCAACTATTTTAACAGAGTATGTGTATATGTACAGCAGGGAAAATATGTATTGAGCACGTCAAGTTTTTTCCTCAGAATAATATTTCTAAGCGAGCTTTTGACAAGGACTTGAATTAGGTTTTGGTAAAAACCCAAACAATGCACACATAAAAATAAACCAAAAAAAAAAAAAAAAAAGTGCTGTGAACATTGGAATGACAGAAGTGGAAAGCACTGAATTACTGAAGTGTGTTTAATACTTTATATAAAATACTTGTTTGGTGCTGCAGCTTAAAGACGCCTCTCATGTGGAGAATAAAGTCTCATGCATTGCTCAGGTGTGAGTTTCTCACAGACTTCAACAGTGTCAAAGTCTTGATGGTTCTGTGGGTCTTGTCTATCAAATCCGGGCTTTATTGCGTATTGTCTATTGCAGGGGTGGCCAACCCTGTTCCTGGAGAGCTACCTTCCTGCAGATTTCACTTGCAACCCACATCAAACACACCTGCCTGTAATTAACAAGTGCTGTTCAGGTCGTAGATAATTGGTTCAGGTGTGTTTGGTCAGGGTAGGATCTAAACTATGCAGGAAGGTAGATCTCCAGGAACAGGGTTGAGCACCCCTGGTCTATTGCATTGGGCTGGGTCAGTCTACAGCTTGATTTTCTTTCTCTGAAAGCATCTGAGAGTTTCCTTGACTGTGTTTTGGATCATTGTCTTGCTGAAATGTCCACCCTGGTCTCATCTTCATCCTCCTGCTAATGTAGATGTTGGACTGAAGCAGCTGATTTTCATTTACACTAAGGAACGGCAGAGGGTTGCTGAAGAACTACTAAGAGATTTCAGCTGCTGTCAGGGCTCTCACTACTGAACTACACCTCCATTTCTTCATCTGTTCAATACTTTTCCCCTGTGTAATTTCATTTTATTACACAGAACTTTATTTGTAATCTAATTAGATTGGCTTCTTTGCATATTTGGATTTATTTGGTTGTGCACCTTAAGAAATGTTTTCTGAGAAAAATTATGACATGTTTAGTACTTATTTAGGACCTAAATACATCACAGATATGCTCACTGAATACAAACCTAACAGATCACTCAGATCTTTAGGATCATATAAACTAGTAGTTCCAAGAGTTCAGTCAAAGCAGGGTGAATCGGCTTTTAGCCACTATGCCCCTCACTGCTGGAATCAGCTTCCAGAAATGATCAGATGTGCTCCAACATTAGACACATTCAAATCAAGACTGAAAACACATCTGTTTAGCTGTGCCTTTACTGAATGAGCACTGTGCTGCGTCCGACAGATTGCACTATCATGTTTTTCTCCTCTTCTTCATTCTTTTATATCACATTTTACCTGTTTTTATGTTTTGTTTTGTTTTTACGCATTTTTATTATTTGTTTTTATTTTTATTTTACTTGTTTCTTTTATTCTTGTTTATGTAAAGCACTTTGAATTGCCACTGTGTATGAAATGTGCTATATAAATAAACTTGCCTTGCCTTGCTTTGCCTTATTTCCCCTGCTGTATATCTTGAAGCTCATTCCTTACATATGGAAAGTACTTAGATAATGCAAATCAACCTATGTCTGTATGAAATAATGGCATCTTAAGTGATGTAAAAACATGTGAATTTACAATAAATATTAGTGCATGTATGCTTGGACTCTATAACTGTTGAACGCTTGATTCTGATTGGCTGATGAAAATTTTCAAATGTGCAGTTATTATTAAACACACAGCTAAAGTAGTTCTATACAGGTTTTGAGCACATTGTAGTTCCACATCAATAGAAAAGATTCTTGAAAATCTTGATAGAAAAGAGACTTCTGTTAACTGGTCCAGGTAATACTCGGCTCTGAGAAGTAAAGGATTGACCCTTGGTTTGATTTGAAGCATGACCTGGTCCAGAAAGCTGCAAAAATGGCTTTAAGGAGTTAATAGTGTGATCTTACTTATAGTGTGTCCTGGGGTGGAGAGGGACGTCCCGTCTGGTGAAGGGTGAAACGGTTGCTGAACCTTGGTCCGGATGATCCTGCACAGTAAATACAGTACATTCACTCACACTGTCTGTCTGTCTCGCTGCCATTATCTCAGATTTACTTTATATATCTGTGAGCAGACAGAAGGGATCAGATCCTGTCTGCCCGAGTGAAAAGCAGAGCCGCTGTAGATATACAGTTCATGAAGACAGTATTATTGGCCCTACTGTGATTTTCTTTTTCTTCTCCTTCCTTAAATATGACCATTGTGATGTTTAACAGATTCAGGAGTTTTGAACAGTATTTCCTATAATATTTTTTCTTCTGAAGAAAGACGTATTTGTTTTATTTCGGTTAAAATAAAAGCAGTTTTTAATTATTTTAAAACTATTTTAAGGAAAATGTTATTAGTTTTGTATTGTTCATTCATTCATTTTCTTGTCGGCTTAGTCCCTTTATTAATCCGGGGTCGCCACAGCGGAATGAACCGCCAACTTATCCAGCAAGTTTTTACGCAGCGGATGCCCTTCCGGCCGCAACCCATCTCTGGGAAACATCCACACACACACACACACACACACACTCATACACTACGGACAATTTAGCCTACCCAATTCACCTGTACCACATGTCTTTGGACTGTGGGGGAAACCGGAGCACCCGGAGGAAACCCACGCGAAGGCACAATAATTCACAATGAAATCACAATAATTCACCTCGATAATCATCTTCACGTGCTTCACCGTGTAATCCAAATTTCCAGCATAAAAAGTTCTGAATTAGGTAAAGGGGTGCTGGTTTGCAAATTGAATGCTGTGAATTAATATTATTATATCGGTAACGCTTTACAATAAGATCGCATTAGTTAACGCTATTTACAGTAATGCATTAGTTAACATGAACTAACAATGAATAATGCATCTATTTAGCATTACTTAACCTTTGTTAATGCTAACTAAACATTTATTTAAGTGTTAGCTAATGCATTAGTAAACATGATCTAACCGTAAACAAGGACTTTGTTCAGTATTACCTAATCTTTGTTAATGTTAATTTAAACAAATTGCAATGCTTCTCTTTACATGAACAGCTTAGTTAATGTTTACTTACTCATACGTAGGCCCACACGGAATCTGCGCGGTCAGAATTCTGCAGATTTTTAGCCCATCATTAATTCTGTTTATTTACTTGAGTAAATGTGTAAATCTGAATTTATTCAGTTTTTATTCTGTAATTTATTACTTTTTATTTACTATATTAAAGTGTAAGTTATGATACTCCGCTGGATACTCCCAAAATAATTCCACAGAAATCCGCAGATTTTTACCAAAATTCTCCGCAGAAATAGCAAAAAACGTCCGCAGATTCCGTCTGGCCCGGCTCATACGCTAACGCATTTGTTAATGGATTAGATAACTTGATCTAATAATGAACAACATATTTATGAAGCAATACTGAATCCTTGTTCATGAAAACTTACAATGTTAGTTAACGGGTTAGTTAACATGCACAAAAAAAAAAAATTAGGTTCAGAAATACACAAACTTTGTTCATGTTACCTACTCATACTAATGCAAGATTGGTAGAGCTTATATTAAGTGCATAGCTCTTGATCAATGTTAGGGACAAAGAAGGACTCTATTGTAGTGCATTACATCGAAACCTCAGCTTTAACTGTTATTCATGTTAGTTAACTCTTTACTAACATGATTTATCAATAGAAAAGCATTTGTTAATAGAATTGAGAACCCTATTGTAAAGCAGGGGTCACCAATCCTGGTCCTGGAGGGCCGGTGACCCTGCAGTGTTTAGCTCCAACTTTCCTCATCACACCTGCCTGGGTTTTTCAAGTATACCTAAGACCTTGATTAGCTGGTTCAGGTGTGTTTGATTATGGTTGGAGCTAAAATCTGCAGGACACCGGCCCTCCACACTGAAAAAAAGTGTTGCATGCAAAACTGTTGCAAACAATTTATTTGTGTTGAATTTAAACAAACAAGTTAAGTTTAATAATGTTTAACTTAATTTGTTTGTTTAAATTTAACACAATATTTTTTTACAACCACTTAACGTAATATATATATTTATTTATATATATATATATATATATATATATATATATATATATATATATATATATATATATATATATATATATATATATATATACAGTAAATTCAAGGAATCATCTCTGAATAGTTTTTTTTTTTCAGTCCAGGAACAAGTTTGATGGCCCCTGTTGTAAAGTGTTCATGTAAAGATAAACATTAGAATAAGTGTAAATTAGCATTAACAAACATTAAGGAATGCTGAACAAAGTCCTTGTTTACTGTTAGATCATGTTGACTAATGCATTAGCTAACACATAAATAAATGTTTAGTTAGCATTAACAAAGGTTAAGAAATGCTTAATAGATGCGTTTTTCATTGTTAGTTCATGTTAACTAATGCATTAACTAATGTTACCTAACGCACCCTTACTGTAAAGTGTTACCATTATATCTTTACTGTGTAATAAGTATAATATTCAAATCTAGATAATAAAGGAGTGAAGTAAAAATACTTTTTATATAATCAAAGAGGCTCAATTTAAATGTTCATGTTTCTGAAAGTCTCTTGTGCTTACTCAGGGTGCATTTATTGGATCAAAAAACATAAGACACAGCCATGTCACCCTGCAGCCCATGACCGGTTACTCACTGAAGCTAAGCAGGGCTGAGCCTGGTCAGTACCTGGATGGGAGACCACTAGGGAACACTAGGTTGCTGTTGGAAGTGGTGTTAGTGAGGCCAGCAGGGGGCGCTCAACCTGTGGTCTGTGTGTGTCCTAATGCCCCAGTAAAAGTGAAGGGGACACTACACTGTCAGTGAGCGCCGTCTTTCGGATGAGACGTTAAACCGAGGTCCTGACTCTCTGTGGTCATTAAAAATGTCATGGCACTTCTCGTGAAAGAGCAGAGGTGTAACCACGGTGTCCTGGCCAAAGTCCCTCTATCGGCCCTTACGATCATGGCCTCCCAATCATCCCCATCCACCGAATTGGCTCTATCCCTGTCTCTCCACTCCACCAACCGCTGGTGTGTGGTGAGCGCACTGGCGCCGTTATCCTGTGGCAGCCATCGCATCATCCAAGTGGATGCTGCACACTGGTGGTGGTGTGGAGAGACCCCCCTCATGATTGTAAAGTGCTTTGGGTGTATGGCCATACACAATAAATGCGCTATATAAATACACATTACATTACATTACATTACATAAGAAAAAAAGTCCAAAAAAAAAGATCATTTTGATGGTCCCTAATGCACATTTTGTTGACTAAAGGTTACATTTCAGCTATTTTTTAATCACTTCTCGTTTTAGTAGTAGTAGACTGCTTAATATCTGTTAATACTGCTCCTTCAACACATTTAAAGGTGCAATCTGCCAAAATGCTAACCACTTAGCATATTATCTTTGGACAGCGGGGAGGGACTGTGATTCAAAGCCACGCCTACTGAAATCGCGAACGCGCGCACAACAGTAGACAACCCAATAGTTCATGTCATTTGCCAGTTAGTTAGTGTTTGGCTGGCGGCATGCAGGAATTACATGTATTACTAAGCCACACTTACATGCTGTTTTAGAGCGAATAGTCTGAGTAGCGGTAAATTGTATAGGAAGGCTGTCATTGTTAAAAAAATGACCCAATGTGAATTTAATAATAAAGCAACTTCAGCTTAGTAAAGCAGGCTAGGCGGAATAGCGCTGTTTACTGATGTTTTGTTGTCGATGCTGTAAAAGGACCTTATAAAACTCCAATATTGATTCAGGATTTTCAAAAGTTTCAATTCAGCATTTGATTTCACCACGTCTGTGATTGTCTCGTGAACGCGCGGCGCTCATGCAATGGCGGATCTGCTTGAACAGATGCGCAGAAGTCCGAATCTACATTTGCTGACAGACAGTTTAAGCTACTTATCAGAATTATGGGAGATGTCGGCCCGACAATATGTAATTGGATGAACATTTTTTTAGTTTTATGCCTTACTCAGAATATGAAAATACATATAAACACATTTAGATCATTTACTGTAATCATTACTATTAGACTGTGAAGAGACTTTCAACCAGCTCAACAACACATGTTTCTGAAGACAATCACCTACTGCACCTTTAATCTGAATATAAGAAACTTTGCAAGAACATGTCAATTTACACTAACCTCAACCGAACCTAACAGTCTACTTAAAAGAAAATGATTGAATGAATGAAATTTTTTTTTTAAAAAAGCAGACAGAAGGGATCAGATCTTGTCTCTTAGAGAGTGAGTAGCAGAGCCGCTGCACCTTTAAGGAGAGAGATATATTGAAAAGCTCTTTTGCCTTGAGTGATCTCGCAAACAAAGCATGAAATCACAACAATTCACCTCGATAATCGTCCTCACCGCGCGCTCGGTGTGCGTTTTCGCGCCTCAGGCTTTGGTTCTAGCGTGGATGAGGTTCTATTGATCTAGACTCCAGGATAAAAAAGTTCTGAATTAGCCACATGGGTACCCGGGATGCAAATGGAAAGCTATAAATTATATGTGACAGGAAAGCAATAGTTGCTCAGTGCGGTGTACAAGCTTACGCCAGCATTTGATTCTGTTAATCTGAACGGCGCTTTGGGAAAAGGGCCCGCTGTCACGCTCATTTGTAAACTTTAGATCTATTCATCACCGCTGGATTTGCTTCTGTTTCAGCGTACACATCCACTGTTGAAGTCAAAGTTAAATGTTTTAAATATTTCCCAAAGGATGTTGAACCGTTTCAGGAATTTTTCACAGTATATCCTATAATATTTTTTTCTTTTGGAGAAAGTCTAATTTGTTTTATTTCGGCTAGAATAAAAGAAGATTTAATTATTTTAAAACCATTTTAGGTCAATATCATTAGCACCCTTAAGCAATATTTGTTTAATTTATTATATTATATTTTTTATTTACAGAACAAAGCATAGTTATATTTACTTTCTCCAACCTAGCCTAATTAACCTAGTCACTTTAAGCTTAATACTATCTTGAAAAATATCTAGTA